GTGACCGAGGACCGAATCTGAGCCACATACTGAAAAGTCACTCAGATTGGCAGCCCCTCTTAATGGTTTGAAAACAAATGTCATATGATGCCAAGATTTTGACACCAGGCACCTGAGGCCATAGGAACCACTGTTAGAAAACCGGAAGTGGAAGGAACGGGTTAGTGAGGGACATAATAAAATCCACTCCAGACATTTTGACCTCCAAAGTGATGATGCTCACATGGGACCTTTGTGATTTGGACCAACCACTCCATGATGCCTCAGTTTCCTCAACTGTACCCTAGAAGTAGTGAGGTGCATCCACGGTGGAGACAATGTGCTAAGAGCAGTGAGCGACAGGGTTATGTTCAGTGCTCAGTAAATGCCATGGCTACTTCAGGAGAGCACGTAGGAACCCGAGGGGCTGCAGCAAGGTGCAGTCGGTGAATGATTACGTGTTCAAAGGGACAAGGAAAAGAAAGTAGGAGGGCGCAGAAGGGAGCTACAGACCACAGAGAGCAGGAGCAGAGCGGGCTAGGCTTGTGGAGGTCGGTGGCATGTGACCGCTGCCGTACACTCAGGCTTTTTGTTGCCTTGCAGTGTTAAGTGCTTTCTTCTCAGAGTAACACCAGTGGGTGGTGTTGTCATCCCTAGCAGATGGGGGGGCGGGGGGCGGCGAGAACCAGTGCTGGCAGTGCAGACCTTCAGTTCCGGGACAGAGGTGGCTAGAGGAGGCTGCACCTCAGACTGGCTCTGAAGGATAGCAGTGTGTGTATTCTCAGAAAGGAGTCAGGTTGGGACGGCTGAGTGAGGAGCCCTGCCTAGTGTAAGGAGGGAGCTAAGATAGCTGGGAGGGACCAGAAAAGAGGCTTGATGCCCTGGGGTGGCAGGACTAGGGCATGAGGACTTCAAGGGCTCCTTGCACAGAGAGGCTCCAGTGTGCCAGGGACAGTGGAGGGCGCTTGGAGCCTTTTTAGGAAGACAAAGATTGGCTAAGAGCATTTTTGTTCTCATAATTTTGTGGGACTAATACAAATCATTTCATTGACCTTCTCCCAGCTTCCCTGGTTGACCCCACACTTTCCATTTGTATTTTCCCTGGATCTATACAGATGCCCTTGGCTCTTGAGGCTTCCTCTGTACGCCCAGCATACTTTTCCATCGGAAATGCATTAAGGGGCAAGGGAAGCAGCTTAGTGCATAAGGCTCTTGCTGCAGGATGGGAGTTCAGGTCTCCAGTGCCTGAGTAAACACCAGGCAGGCATGACAGTCAGCCTGTAGATTCCATGCTCCATTAGTCCAGGCTCAGAAGGCAGAGGCAGGCTGGCTACCTAGACTAGCCATACTGGTGAACTTTGGCTTCAATACAGAGACCTTGTTTCAAGCAATAAGTTGGAGAGCATTTGAGGAAGACTCCCCATGTCAACCCACTCATGCATGTGAGGGGAGGGGAGAAGTGGAGAGGCACTGACTCCACCTAACCTGCTAGACATCTGAGCTTGGTGTAGACTGTCAGTCTCATCCCCTCGTGATCCACATGGCTGTCACCCTGTGACATCATCAAACCTATCATACCACAGATGTTACCAGCCCAGGAAAAGAACATAATCTGAAGTTCAGAACGGGGTTTCTGTCAGATACACACTGCTTTAGGCTATCATAAAATTGGAAGATTTTAAGTTGAGCTGTTAAAGATCAGATATCGTCTGTACTGTTCCTCTCTCCTGCTCCTGTTTGAAAGTTGCAATAGCAAGCACTAAGAACTTGAGTATGCCTTTCCTGAGAACAGAGACATGATACTCAGACTCAGAAAGTTAGTATAATGCAATTAATAAGTTGTATCTATACATTAGTACCTACAGACCTAATCTGTAGAGTTTATTTATATCAGCGGTGCCTTTCCTTTTCAAAACAGAAGAAGGAAAACAGTCTGGCCCAGTGGCGTGCTCCGCATTTAACTGTCCTGTCCAGTAGCCAGTTTTAATGACCAAGGGATTGGGTGTTAAAGATCAGGAAGGGGAAGTAGCATGAGATAGCAAGGTTAGACACACTATGTGGTTGACATTTTTATGAGATTTCAGAAGACCGTTAATCAGCTGGGCACAGTGCATAACTCTGTAACCTCAAGTACTCAGGAGACTTTGGAATTCTGGCAAGAACTCTTCATTATCTGAGCAAATGGGAGACTTTCAAAGAAAGTAATATCCAGGAAAGCCCCAAGTGTTATGTTTGGATTAGCTTAAAATACCAGGACGTGACAGAACTGCCTAAGTTGACAGTCTCGGGTTATGTCCTGGTGTTCCAGCATGGGCTTGAGGCCGTGTTCAGCCAGCGCCCTGAAGGGTAGTGCTGTGCAGACCCCTGAGGTCACTGGGAGGGACACCTACTCCAACAGTGTCCTGATTCATGAAGGCCGTAGCATAGGATACTGGGATGTCACACAGTGTGACAAGATTATTAATGACTTCCTTTGTCAATTGTTCCTTTTTGTTTGACTAGGTTAAACAGTGCACCAGTTGAGGGTTATTCTGAACACGTTGGAAACAAAACCACCATAAGAATGACCTACCCAGAGGGCGCCCCGCTGTCAGAGGTGGAGTACTACGCCAATGACTTGTTCGTTACCGTTTTATTCAAAAGTGTTGATTTCAAGTGGCTTCAAGCAATGATAAAAAATGAAACTCTGGTAAGCCCTCAGAATTCTTCTGGAAATCCGGCATTGGTAAAAGTGAGGGCAACTTAGATTGAAATTATGGACTTTTATTTTTAAATATTCACAGTAGAATACATACTTCTGTGTGGTCTTTGAAATGATATTCTCCCTCTTTGTAGAAATCTCTCAGAACTCCCCTGCACATTTGCTTCAGAACCTGATTAAGACTTGGCACATGGAACTGAAAATGTAACTTGGTCTGTGGAGTGCTCGCCTAGCATGCACAAGGCCTGGGTTCATTCCCTATTACCATGTGGCACCTATATTCTCAGTACTTGGGAGGTGGCGGCAGGAGGCTAAGCTCCAGACCATCCTCAGATATGTAGAGTTTGAGGCCAGCCTGGGCTACATGAGACCCTGTCTTAGAAACAAGCAAATAAATAAGTAAACCAAAACTACAAAAAGAATTTTTTGTGAAATTGGTGTTATCACTAAAAGGCAGCATCGACTGTAAGACCATGCTTTCTATTCTGAGGCTGATTACCTTGTTCTGCAGACATGGACTGAATGACTTTCAGTTAGTTCAAGAAGTGAGATCTGCTGTATGAATGTAAACTGTGCTGAAGTTTATACAAATAACCACCCCAAAGATGTTCTCCAAAATGCTGTGGGCAGGATCCTCTCATTGGAGTAAATCCAAAGCATCCTTGAAGGGCAGCAGCAGTGGCCTCCACTCGCTCAGCTCCCTCTTGTTGGTCTTTCCCATAATCAATTAATACTGCTTTGTAGTCCCATGCATTAAAGTAAAATAATTTTCAGAGGTCAGTTATCAAGTTGGTAATAAATAACTATCTTCAAAACTAACAGGACAGGGTGCACGGAGATGGCTCAGAGGGTGAAGGTGCCTGCCACCATGCCTGGCACCCCAGGTTCAACCCCTGGGAGGCACATGGTAGAAAGAGAGAACTGATTCCCAGAGATCATCCTCCAGCCTCCATGCAAGTGCTATGACAACACACACACATACACACACACACATGCATATAATATGTGGTTAAGTAGACATTCTTTTTAATTTAGTAGGCCGTACCACATGATGGAACAGTTTACATGTCCCGAGCCTGGTTCTCTGCGGATGATTGTGACCTTCTGGATTTTTCTATTGCATAGAATTTCTGGTGGGAAAATGAAGTGACCTCTAGTCAGTTGCTAAGCAATTTTATGAGACTAGGAAATAAAGTCAGTGGAAAGTGGGTATGCAGTGAGAACCCATCCAACAAGGCACTCCCCACACTTACCACCCTAAGTCGAGCCTGTTAACTGACCTTCCCTGGGAACGCTGTAGATTGTAAAAGAGCCCTGGCTCAGGTCATCCTTGGGGAATTTCTTCCTCAAACAAGCAAGTTGGTTCTGTCATTTCTGTTCAGGGCTGCACCAGCTTTGTAATTTGCAAGTTTCAGGGTTACATTATTGGGCGGAAGTACTGGATTTCCATGCATTTTGATGACTGTGCTCAGGGTTCAGGGTACAGGGCCAGCTGGAGTTGTGCTCGTGACCTTGGCATGATTAACCATCTTACCCTCTGCTGCCAGGATGACATTAGTAAGATCCCTAACGATTGCTTGCATTCTTTCCTTAGCCATTTTGGGTTCGGCTCTTCTTTTGGAAGCAGGTGGCAGAAAAAATCCCACTCCAGGCCAAACACTTCAGGATTTTGAACCCAATTATCATCAAAGAAACTGCCTTTGACATCCTTCGGTACTCAGAGCCTCAGCTGAGATTCTGGGGCCAAGACAAGGTATATTTGTTACTGCTCAATTAACTGTTCTCCGTGTACAAGAGAAAATATGTTGTTTTGTGCAGGCTCATCTATACCCCTAGAAGCATTTCTAGTAGGGAAACCTACTCATTGACCAGACAAGTCCACGTGTGATTATTGTTCCGCCCCTTGGTGCTCAGTTTTCTCGTTTGGTTGAATTAGCCTTCTTCTAGTGTACTCTTTAGTACAGTAACACTTATGTTACTGAAATGTTAAGTAAGGCATCTTGGGCCCAGGGCCACATTCAACTGCCAGACACAAAGAGGCACTTCGCGACTCTGAAAAGGTTCTGTATATTGTATGTCTGTAAGATGCTAGGACTTGGTAGCTACCAGTGCTTCACAGATGATGACAGATGAAGTCAGCCCCTAAGATCGTGCTTTCCGGTCTGGCCCCACACCAGACACTCAGGCTTCCTTAGTCAGTGTTATGATCTGTACATGGGGATATTTTCAAAGTTATCCAGATAAATTGAGACCCTTTGTGTTCTAGGTTTCTGTTGGGTAGGTTGTTAACCTGCAATTAGCATGTGCTGCCAGAAGGGAGTGGTGTGGGAAATGGTTTTATTGTATCTTGGCCCATGTCTTTACAACTTTGAAGCCTGCCTGGTCAACAAAGTGAGTTGCAGGGCAGCCAGGACTACACAGAGAAACTCCATCTAAAACAACAACAACAAAAAACAAAAAACAAAAAAAAAACACTAAGTATTTATAAAATTATAGTACATGTATAAAGCATGCGTGAAATACCAAAGAGTAACAGTACATGTGGGTCTTAGTCCCAGGTGCCTTGCTGTGTATGAACCTGAAACATTTCTGGGCTCACACACTGCAGATGCGGGAAATGGCCTGCGATTGGCCCAGCAGCAGCCCTCAGGACCGTTAGCCACAAGCTCTCGGGGCTTGTCTTATGGTGCTGTTTTTACCCAAAACTTCAGTGAAGATCCAGAAAGCTTGTGCCAGGCTTGCACATCCCAGGAGGCATGGCAGGATGCTAGGCAGACAGAGGGTGTGCCAACAGTGAGAAGCAAAAATAGGATGAGCCTTAGGCCTGCTGAGCCAGAGTTAGTTGAATCTATTTTGAAAGGGGTAAATGCAGCCAGGCAGAGTGACACATGTAATCCAGCACTCCACAGGCTGAAGCAGGAGGTCGTGGTGTAGAAGCCAGCGTGGGTTACATGGCAGGACCCTATCTTCAACAACAGCAACCAGACAGGGATGAGCGTGACGGCGCATGCTGCGTAACATAGGAGTTCAGGCCCGGGCCCACAGGGAGAAGAAGAGAACCAACTCCTGAAAGTTGTCCTCTGACCTCCAGGCATGTAAAGAGACATGTCTGTCCAAGTGCTCATGCGTATACACACACACGCACACATACATTTATACATCTTAAAAATATAAAAAGATAGTTGAGTTAGTTAATTATAATTTAAAAATCAAGGAAGAATAAATGTCCTTAATTCAGGTCTGGTTTAACTGCTGTCTGTATAAAAATGGTCTAGGAACAGCAAATTGTGACATTAGTGGGACACTAGCAGCAAGTAGGTATATGGGAGAAATGAGAATTTAATAAGGGAGAATGTGTCCCACAGGAGGGATGGGATCCACAAACCATGCCCTGGGAAGGACCACGGAAGGTCCTCTCTGAAGTAGACCTGATAGATCCTTACAGCACATATACAAATAACACACAGACCCAGCAGGTTATATTTAAGAATATACGTGTGTGTGTGTATGTGTATGTGTGTGTGTGTGTGTGTGTGTGTGTATGTATGTATGTATGCATGCATGCAGTAACAACTAGTGAAAAAAGAGGCTGTGAAATTGCAGGAGAGCAGGGAAGTGTATGTGGGAGGTTTGGAGGGAAGAAAGAGAAGGGGGAAAATGTAATTATATTATAATTTCAAAAATTTAAAAATAGCCTGGTGTAGTGGTGCTTACCTTTAAGCCCAGCACTTGGTGAGCAGAGGCAGGTAGATCTCTGTGAGTTCCAGGACAACCAGAGAGCTACATAATGAAACTCTGTCTGAAAAAATAAAAATTAAAAATGAGTTAAAGTATTACTTTTTAAAATGAATGAATGGACTAAGTTGGTCTGTGTTGTTTGCAGAACATCCCCACGATCGGTGTCATTGCCATCGTCTTAGCCACACATCTGTGTGATGAAGTCAGCTTGGCAGGTTTTGGATATGACCTCAGTCGACCCAGGATTCCTCTGCATTACTTCGACAGTCAGTGCATGAGTGCCATGAACTTTCAAGTCATGCACAATGTGACCACAGAGACCAAGTTCCTCCTGAAGTTGATCAAGGAGGGAGTGGTGAAGGACCTCAGTGGGGGCATCCATTGTGAATTTTGAGCACAACAAACCTCAATTGGAAATGCAGCTGGGACCGGTGGTGAAGCCTCCACTTCCACTCACCCTGCAGCTGCTTGATGGGCAGCTGCTGTTTTTAAACTTTTCATTAAAAAAGAAAAGAAAAAAAAAGCACCAACAAAATTTAGCTCTTCCCACATCTTTGCCCTATTTATTTGAAGTCAGTGTTGGGTTTTGCACATTTTTATAAGTTAATTTTAAGAATGGGATTGGAAAGACTTTTCAAAGAGAATCATATCAAATGATCCTTAATTGTATTATAAGGAAATAATTTAACTTGCAAGCACTGTATGCATGTCTTCTGCACAGTGAGCAGCAGGTGATGAGGTGGGAGCAGAGGGCTCTCTGGCTCTTTGATGACGGTCATGGTGCCTGATTCTGGATTCTGCTGCTCTGTTTGGAAGAACTGATGGCAGAGAAACTCCCTACTTCTTGAATTGAAGGGCTTACTCATGACCACTGGCAGCCGCAGGAGGTCGGGACCACTAGACAAGTTCATAGCCCCTTTCTGCCAGTTCGTCTTAGACTCATGGCAATCAGCCAGAGCAGCTGGCCTGGGGGTTGCTGGCTGGTGAGACACTGTTTGCTGAGTCCTGTGAAGTTGCCTCATACTGAAGAAGCCTTGTCTCTCCACACCATCAGGATACTTTTAAACTTCTAGAGATTTTTTTTTCTTCCTTTCCAAAGCACTTACATGTTACTTAAGATACTGCTGTTTGTCTGAGGTGGTACATTGAAATTATGACAATGCCTCAGTTATCCAGAGCCATGGGGAATGACCCCTTCCAGGGATGATCACATTTCTGAAGCACTGGAGTGAGATCCTCCCATTGTTACAACTTGTTTATTTGAAAGAAAAAGGAAGAAAGAAAGGAAGGAAGGAAGAAAGAAAGGATTTTTCAAATGCCTGACAGTGTATACCAAACAATGTCAAAAAAAGAAAGAAAGAAAAAAGATTAAAAGCTTCTTCAGAACCCTCTGTGATCTAGTTACTTTGAGTGTTTGTTCCTTCATTTGTTCATTTTAGGAAAATCTCTTTTCTCTGCTAAGTGGAACCCTCGCCCTGGATGCTGCCTGTGAGGACAGAGTTGGGGCACCTCACTCCCTAGCTCTTTGATTCAAGTCAAGGGCCCCTCTGGTGATGGGTGTCGTAGTTATTTTTCAACACTGTGACAAAATTTCATGACCAAGGCAACTTATTAAAAGGAAGCATTTAATTTGGGGCTCAGGGTTTCAGAGGGTGAGTCCATGACCATTGTGATGAGGAACTCGGGAGCAAAGCGGCAAGCATGGTGCTAGAGGGGTCGCTGAGAGCTTGGATCTTGCTCCACAAACATGAGGCAGAAGGTGCTGAACTGGGAACGGGGTCTTTTAAACCTCAAAACCCACCCCAGCGACACAGCTTCTAATCCTTCCCAGACAGTTCCACCAACGGGGCAAAGCATTCAAATAATGAGCCTGTGGAGACCATTCCCATTCAAACCACCTCTGAGTTACAGGCTGCCTTGCCCTGAAGCTCTAGCTTGCCTTTTAGTGACCTGGTGTCAGAAGGTGTGGGCAGCTGTTCCACACCCATCTGCTGTGCCTTTTTTCTGTAGTCTGTCCCTGCCCATGTTCCCTGACATCTCTCTCAATTCACTCCACTGCCATGCAGCCCCAGGGAAACCTGTCCACAGTGCATTTTAACACTTGTCCTGTCTCCCTTCTGAGTGTTGGGAAAGGGGACAAGTCATATCAACACAAAACCCCATCTCTAGGACTGTAGGCTACAGCTCAGAGGGACTGCAAAGCAAAATAGTGTTGTATTTCTCTGGGGTTTTTTGTCTCTTTTGGCTTCTACTTTGGAAGATGCTATTTGCTGATATGGGATTCCCCTCTGTATGCTGTGAAAATGTTTTACTACCATTGGTTAATAAAAGAAGCTGCTTTGGCCTATAGCAGGGCAGAATATAGTCAGGCTGGAAAAGATATAGAGAGAGAATAGGCAGAGTCAAAGAGACACCATGTAGCTGCTGAAGGAGACAGAGGCCCCAGAACCTTACCTACCGGTAAAATACAAAATAATAGGAATAGGTTAATTTAAGATGTAAGAGTTAGTTAACAAAATGCCTGAGCTAATAGGCCAAGCAATGTTGCAATTAATATAATTTCCTTGTGATTATTTCAGGTCTGGGTGGCCAGGAAACAAATGAACAGTCTCCTACTACAATTTGCTTATATGACAGTGTTTCTAAACTTCTAGTTCCATGACTTATTAGAAAACATTCTAGCTTGAGCACCACACAGCCCCACCCTATAGCAAGAACCACAAAGATATATATATATCGATTGAGGAGTGCTGGGGAGAACACGCTCATGGGATTGAGGGAGCTGGGAATCAGCCACACACTGATTCACACCACCTGACTCAAGTCTTCACAATCCAAGAGAGTATGTGACTCCTCTCTCCCGTTTTAAGAGATCATGTCCACAGGCAAGAAGCCATGCCTTAAAGCAGGTACCCCAAAGCTACTGACAGAATAAATCCCTACAGCACTTCCCCTTTTGGTCTAAATAAGAAGGTTCTATACCTATACCTATACAAAACCTATATACAATAAGAAAAATTGTTGAGTATTGTCCAGGAGAAAGAGTAATAACATATACAAAAAATAGAGCTACAACCAACAAGAATAACATCAAAGAAAAAACACATACTATATGTCCAGGCTATAGGTAATAGGCAAATACCAGAGATTATTCTAATAGCTGTCCTATTCTGAAGGTCTAAGTCTTGTACCTAATATGCCTTAGCTAAAGTAAGAGGATAGTGACTTGTCATCTAGTCTTCAACCCCATCAAAGATTCAAGAAGGAAAATAATATTACCTGAGTAAGCAGGAAGTATAAGCACAAAGTGCAAGCAAATGACTTCCAAACGATGCAAGAAATGACAGAAACAGCTGGCTACCTGGACAGTCACCCAACATCTCTCTGTAACATTGGGTCAACCAAGTTTGGCTCTAGACCTAGAATATCTGACAGACCATTTTCAGAAGCAAGAAAGTTCCAAAGACTGTCCTACCCTGTCTTGGCAAGGTTCAGCAGTCTCTTCTTTGAAACCTGCTTGTCCAAATTGGACAATTTGCTTACTATCACTATCAGCAGTTAAGGTAAGGGCAGTTCTTTGCCTGATAGGCCAGTTTTGAAAAAAAAAAAAAACAAGCTCCATATGGAGTGTCTTCAGTGCCCCTCATTCTCTTGGAAGTCGAAGATTACCTATCTATGCAGATTACATCTCTGTGCATCTAGAGAACCTGATTAACGTATGTATGACAAACATGGGTGACTATTAACCTGTAATTCTTTTTTTGTTCTGCTTTGTTTTTGAGACAGGGTTTCTCTGTAGCCTTGGGGCCTTTCCTGGAACTAGCTCTTGTAGACCAGGCTGGCCTTGAACTCACAGACATCCACCAATCTCCCTCCAAAGTGTTGGGTTTAAAGATGTGCACCACCACCACCTGGCTTTAACCTGTAATTCTTAATGACCTATATAGCTTAAAGACTAAGGCCTCATATTATAAAAATAAACAATCTTTAAACAGATGTGCAGCATGAGAACAATGACCTCGAAATTGTAACATTGTATAAAATATCTTTATCAGAGGTAGAAATGTACATGACAAAAATATTCTTAATTTGTATCAATATACAGAATATCATAAGCAGAAGTAGAAATATACATACAGTATGACAAGAATAATTTTACACTTATGTATAAAACATTGTAAACAGAAATAGAAACTTACACAATATGATAGATATGATTTTGAATTTGTATGAGTATACAAATTATCTTAGAAATACAAAAAATAATTTCACATATAAATCAATATACAAGAATCTATATCAATATAAATTGTCTAAAACTAATAGTTGCTAAAAAATAGTTTACAAGTAGATACACTAATCTACCTTATTATTCTATCATAGTCTACCTATTCCCCTTTTTTCTTATCCAAAAGAGAATCCTGAGTCTAAACTTCATTGTTCCACCCACAACCCTATTGCAACATATAACCAGTTCCCAACAGATGACAATTATCCATAACCCTGAGAAAACAAAATCTGTTTGCTGTATGATAATGCTTTTGTACCCTGTAAAGATTTGTCACTCATTGGGTTAATAAAACTCTGATTGGCTAGTGGCCAGGCAGGAAGTATAGGAGGGACAACCAGAGTAGGAGAATTCTGGGAAGAAGAAAGGCAGAGAGTCAGTCACCAGTCTAATGAAGAGGAAGCAAGAGAATATCTTACTAAGAAAAGATAAGCCATGTAACTAAATATAGACAAGAATTATGGATTAATTTAAGTTGTAAGAGATAGTTGATAACTATGGGCCAGACAGTTTATAGTTAATATGAGCCTCTGTGTATTTATTTGAGACTGAATAACTGTGGGACTGGGCAGGACAGAAACTTCTGACTACGTCTGTTGGGAGAAGGGTTGTCATTTCCTTAGAATTGCTTCCTGCTGTCTAGTAGGCAATAGTATCACTATGGGATCCTGTTGCATGGCAGGTGAGAGACTGAGACAGGTAGGCATGCCATGCAGAGTGAGGTTGGATATTTAG